AACCCAACCCGCTACACCGCCAATTAAGAGGCTTGAAATTGGGTTAGCCTAGCTCAACCCAACCCAACCCACCGCTAATATATAATTGCGTAACTTTGATAAAATTTTATTTATATCTATATATAATATAATACTCTATTAGATATAAATTTATATATATATATATATATATATATATTAATAATTTGTAAAATTCTATATAATGTTTCTTGAGTTTATGTTTTAGTTTCCCTTTAGCTATATGTATAGTACAGGCTATCAAAAGAGATTCACCACCAAAGAATGACAAAAAAGAATCTATTAATCCAAAGACTCCCTCATTTGATGTTTTACCATTGGAGATCATTTTTGCAGCAACAACAAATGCATGTGCTGGAGAATATGACTGATACTTAGTTGACGAACCTATCAATCCAAAGACTCCCTCATTTGATGTTTTACTTTGGTGGAAAGAAATGTTAATAGTTATAGCATTTCACTACAACAACATTAGGTTTATAGGACGCCTAAAATGTCTAAGCGTCCTAATATGATACTGTATAAGACTTAAGTTTATAGGAAGAAACAAAAAAATGCCCAATCTAAAAATGTTACTATGTTTATAGGACGCTTTTGTGTTTCTTAACATGTTTTTAGGACATTTTTAAAATAGTGTCCTATTAGTTATTTTATTACGACACTATTCGAGAAAGTGTCATATAAACACAAGTGCCCTGTATTAGATGAGTTTATTGGACACTTCTCAAAATTGTTCTATAAAATAGCTAATACGACACTATTTAAAAAGAGTACTAGAAAACTTGTTGAAATGTCCAAAAGATTCCTATAAACCTGTTGTAACCCTATTAGATAGGACGTTTTATAGTTTGCTCCTATAAACTTTTAAGTCCTATAAAGTATTTCATTTGTCAATTTATGTAACTACTAACCCGCCAACCCGCCCCAACCCGCAAGGTTTGGGTTATACTTCTGAATGAGTTGGGTTGGGGTGAGATCTTTTCAAATCACCATAATTGGGTGGGGTTGTATAAATGCCGTAAACCGCCCAACCCAACCTGCATACACCCCTACATGAAATCTAGTCATGAATCACATTGAAACCACACTGACCTTCGATCTTTGTTCTGGTTTGGGCAGGTCCATCATTTGAATGCTTTAACATGCTTGACCGTTTGACATTGTTGTTTGATTGTTCATTGGTCTAAACCGGGGAGCTGATGCTTCTTTAATTGCCTCACAATCTTCCCTTGCTTTCTGGTATTAAATTTGTTGGCTTGGGGAATTATGATAATTTTTTTGTTTTGATATATTGTAATTTGGTCTCTTAATTTAGAAATTTTATATATTGGCCCACAGTTTGCTATTTCTTTTCATTGAAATTTGTTTTTTCTTTCTACGAGCCATTTTAAGCACTTTATGAGATTCTGAGCAAGCAGAAGATGTAGTTTTGTTACAGATTTTCGAAGGGAATATATTTACACCTCAAGCAGGGGTTCCGTAATTCACAGGTTTAGTTAGTGGAACACATAGTGTCTGCTAACGAGCAGATTGTTTTCTGATTCTTTTGTTACACATTGTGACTTGTGAGAACATGTGGACCCAGATTACTCTCCAAAAGAGCCCTTGATGAGAGAATGGAGGTTGCAAATAGAGGATAAATGATCCAAGTCTAGCCGATGTTGGACTCTAACATGACTTGTTTGCCTCCATCTTTCTCATTGCATAGGTTATTCACTGAGGTGCAACAGACAAGGAAAACTATCCTCAATACACACTTCTAGATGACCAGTCAAGTTGCCGACATTTGCCATGTTCCAGGTCCATTGGGGCCATAGGCTAAGGGGCTATTTACAAAACGCTTACCAGGTAAGCGCTTACCATGTGTCACTTACCTTAGCGGGTGGGCATGGCAATGACCAAGAATTTATTTATTTATTCTTTTTGAAGTATACCCGGTAAGAATGACAATTTACCGGTAAGAGACATAGCAAGGACCGATAGTCTTAGCCAGTAAGCTAGGAAGAAGACTCTTAACCAATAAGCGCTTGCCAAGTAAACAACACTTGCCAACAATCCTATTTGATGGCCGCGAATGTTACCTGATAAGATGAGGGTGGTGGCTATTGCCGGTAATCATTCGGTAAATGGCCTCTAAGTAGTAATGATCTCTGACTTGGATCTTTCTAATCTTTATATGTCCACCTTTTTTATACTTCGGTGAGACTTGCTAAAAATTATAATTATCCGATCAACTTATTCCACTTTCAAGAATTTCAGAAATCTTGGATGAGAACATGTGTCAAATGTCGGTCTATATCAGCTAGATGTTCTTTCCTGTACTGCATATCTTAGTAAGGGTAGTAATCAGGAATGTGAAACCAACTAGTCATCCTTTATCTGGAGTGTTTGGCGAAATTAAGTTCGGGTTAACTTATTTTTAGCTAATGTGATGCACCTTGTCAAATTTAGCTAATATCATGAGTCTTGTCAAAATGGGTGAACACATTTATGATTGTTACCCACCCATAGTCATCCTAGATCTAGAGGTACTTTATAATTTATTCATTCCAATGTATAGGGTCCTTCCCCTTGTTTTGTAAGTTGTTGTATACGATCTTTTTTTACTTTCATTGGTAACTTTTATGAGACTATATGGTTTACACTAAAAGACACAAGCCAAAAAACTCTTCATTTTTGTCAACTTGTTGCACAAAATAAAATCGACATATGAAATATTTGTGATGCTAAGGCTTATTTTTTTTTTTTTTGAAGACTTTACAAGATATATCGATACCGCTCACGATATTATAGTACTAATTTGTATTGCCGGATGCAGGAACACGTTTGTTGTAGGTTATTGTACCATGTTGATTCATCATAATATTCCTCATCGCATACCATCTACTTTCATTCTTCTCCCTGTCTTGTGGGACAGTCCACAGAGGTAAGGTTTACGTACATATTAACCCCCCMCCCCCCCCCCCGGGACCCTACCTCCAGATTGGATACTGGAACGGTTTGGTTTGGTTTTTTATACCATCTACTTTTTCGTTGAAGGAAAAATACCTTGGTTCGCAGCTCTCTTTTAATGTTGATCTTTCGTGCTATCAACATGATTTTTCATTGTGGTTTGACCAAACTTGATGCCAGGGAAAACAGTTGTATCTTTGTTTGGTACTCTTGTCATAAAAAGGATATTGATGTCACTCCTAGTTTGACTATAATAGATGCAAGCAGATTGGTATGGTCTTGTGTTTCAATAAGATTGTGATTATTGGGGATGAAACAAAGGGTGTTACAACTCTCAAAATCTTTATGCAGAGGCAGTTTCAGACCAATCATTTGAGCCTCATGTTACTCGTATATCAATTATGCCTTGTGTCCACACAGCAACAAGAAACATTGCATGTTTGTTGGATCAGTATCTGTTTCTTTGTCATCAAAGGACAAATGGGGTCTGAAATTAATCTTCTCAAACTATTCTTATTGAGTTGAAAGCAAGAAACATGGCATATCAATTTCTAGTCTTAAGTCTAAAGATCAAACTATATCTAGAAAGCACGTCAGCTGACTTTCGTAACTTGTTACCTCACTTAGATACATTGTTTCATACATGAATTTGGTGACCCTACATTTCATTAGAGGGAGATGTATTGACAAGGAAATTATGTGCATTTCCAAAGATATTTGATGAGCATACCATATATATCGAGGTAGACTACCACTTTGTTCGTGAGAATGCAGTTGCCACTTCTTGAGAACATTCATATTGGTTTGGACAAGTTCTTGAAATCAGGTGGTCAAAGTTTTAACTAGGCCCCATTGTGGAATTGGTTTAATTCCACATGTAAGTTGGATAACCAAATCAAATCAAACTGACCCAGTAAATCCCACACGAAATGTATGGTCTGACCTCTACCTCAAAGAGTAGAGTGGCAGTAAAGACCGCGGGCTTGTGCAAGAGTGTGAGCAAACATGTCGAAAGAACAGACTAGCACATGGTGAACGTAGAAGGGAGGAAAATAAGAAAAAAGATAACACATAAGTACATTGATAACATACACAAGATAAGTTAAGGTGAAACAGACGGAGCACAACCCTAACCTAAACTGCATGCCCTCTACCCCCAAGCTTCTCCAACTCCCTTTTGTCAACCACACGAGCTACAGATCCCCACATCTAGTCTGCTACCCTAGTATTTTGTCTCCAAATACTCCTACCAAAGGTTATGTCCTCAAAAATGCCTAAAGTAACCATGTCTATCTTTTATTGTTCATCCACGTCCTCCTCGGCCTTCCCCTCCCCCTCACCCCCTCAATTGCCACTCTATCTTTGGATATTTGAGTATTTGACATATATGCTCCAACTTGCGGCATCATACATAAATTATCATACATGTACAACCTACCTCGCGAGATTTGGGGCCAAGTGATTCTTACAAGTTATGTGATTAACCACATGTCCTCCACTAGACAAAACTTCCCATAATTGTTACACTCTTTCTTTATTCTACTCCAAGGATTCTAGTTAATGTTCACTTTCCATATGGAACTTAGAAAACCTACGGCTAGAGCTATTCAATGTGTTTTTATTGGGTACTTGTTACGCCTAGTTCTATATAACTATATTAATTCATTTTAAGCACATGAGGTGGGGTTAACCAATAAAAGGCACTGTATTAAGGTAATATAGCACCTATACTACCATAATAGAATTAGTTTATAGGAGCATCTTCAACAGATTCTCTAAAATAGAGAAAATGAATGTTTTGTTTTCTTTGCTCCAACAAATTCTCTATATTGTTCTCTAAAATGGAGAAAACTCCAAGTTTAGAGAATTCTCTAAAACTTGATGGGAGGAGAGAGAAATGATTTTTATTTATTCCCACCAATGGGATTGAGTTATTATTATTTTATATAAATTTTTTTAAAAAGCGTAATGGGATGATAACATTATAGAATATTTCAATAATATAATTGATGTTGAAATTCTCTAAAATAGAGAATTTGTTGGAGTTGAAGGTAATCTTTTTTAAGATTTTGACTTTTGGTTCTCTATTTTAGAGAAATTATAGTTAATATGTTGGAGATACTCTAAGGAGTTAGGAGAAGAGTAATGTTCACTGCATTTGATCATAAACAATATAGAGAGAGAATTGAGCATCCTAGAGAATGCCCGACTCTTGAAAGTAGGTATATTTTCTGTTTGTTGCTTTTGTATTTGTATTCAATAGATATCATTCAGGTTCCAATCAAATTGGCATCAAAGCCGCTTCTGGGAACTGGGAGAGAAACTAGAAAGGGAAATCAGGGCAGACCAATCCACGACAGTCGCAAAATCTCAGGAATAGATGAATTGATTGAAGCCACATTTAGGTAGGCTTGAGGTTGCACCTCCATTTTTTGCTATATAAGTGGTTTCAAGCCTAAAACATGGTTGTGCATGTAACAACTTGAAGAAACCTGGCTCACAAGCCCTACAAAAGGAACCAAGAAGCAAAATGGTATACAAAAATTATTTTGTTCATGAACAATCAATTAAGCAAAAAAAGGTTGTGTCAAGAGCAGTAGTTGTGCTAGGTTTGCGGCCCTGTAACTAGGGTCCATAAAGAAGTATTGGAGCTATCGGAAGATACCAAAGATTTCCAATAAGAAGATACTGAAGGAATCAATCACAATCCCTAATGGTGGTAGTGTTGCCTTAATGAAGGGTCAAGACACATCCCTTAATTAACAAGAGAGAAAGAGAAGAAAATAGACATGCACATGAGCAACTTCAATTAACTTCTAACAGTCCTCTAACACGATAAAGTTATACCCAACATGATGTAACAACAAAGACAAATGGCTTCACATTGAGTAGGCCCTGAACATGCATCATTATTCATTGATTTTAGTTGCAGTTTTTTCGCCAATGTTATTATTTAGAATAGAGGTATTTAGCAAGTTAAGATATATACATGTGCAGGCAATAAAATAATGCCTATGCGGCTGGGAAATATTCATGGTAGGTGTATATACTTGTTTTCTCTATTTACACCAAATATGAGAAAAATAACATGAATTATTAGACCAAATATGAGGACATCATAAGACCAAGAAAAGAAAATTGTAGAATAGTAACCAATTAAAATAAGACATACCTTCTCTCTTTTAAGTCTTTCGTTTTCCTCTTCCAAACGTGAAACTTTGTTCTCCAGCTCATGCGTGTAAGCCTATCCAACCATATAGAAGTCTCTTATGACTTGTCTACAGGAGAGAAAGAGAAAGATACAGAAAAAAGCAGTACCTGGCTAGGATAAAAAAATGACAAAAAAAACATTTCGAAATCATACCTGTTTCCTTGCTCGTGAGCGTGCAGCAGATTCTCTATTTTTTATCATTCTTTTTTGCCTTCTTTCCACGGTCTTCTCCATTACATCTCCAGATGCAACTCTTTTCCGTCCAGGCGTTTGTGTATCAGACAGAGTACTCATCAAAGGGGAAGGAGACATTGTCATTTGAGTCTCGGAATAAGCCGGGTCCATGATTTGGTTAGCACTGCTAGGGAGGGGTGGTTGAACTTGATGATGGCTTGGCATGAACACATGTTGCTGCTGAATTGGTGGGATTTGGAATTGCATCCATTGTGCTTGTTGGGGACTAATATTCTGTTGGGCCAATGCACTTGAGTCAGCTCCTAGAACAGAAGCCAGATTCTTTTTCTCCTGAGAAGATTTACTCACAATCCCAGCCTTGGCTAAGAAATCCTCTAGGGTCATCTCACCAAGAGTCGGTTGTTTCCCCCGCCCAGCCTTCCTATCAAGATTATGATCATTACCACCATTATCATCCTTCTTCTTTTGACCCTGTTGGATATCTTGCCACAATTCATCAACAGTCTTCTTGCTCAGATCCCTGGAGAGATCAAGGCTCGACTGGTGAGCCATAGAAGAGGTAGAAGCAAGCTGGGTGTGTTGAGAGTGGTAAAGTGGTCCAGCCCCACTACCCATCCCTTCATTAGCTTCAGTTTCAGCAGTCCAAATACTCTTGAGAAGCTCATCAAGATTCATACTGCTAAGAGGTTTCCCTAAATCCCCTAATTGGTGCTGAACCTCATCCAGAGTTAGGTTATACAAAGGGCCTTGTTTTGAAAATCCGTCTGATTTAGGATGTTGGGTTCCACCATTTCCACCACCACCACCGCCATGTGATCCCATTGTTCGAGTCCCCATAGACAAAACCCCTAAGCTCTAAATACTAATCAATTCCTTCAAGCAGATAATTAATCCCAAATTCCAAAAATTGAAAAAGATCGATCACTTTTCCTCTAAACCACCGAAAACAACGACTCCTAACCTGCAACGTGAAATCCGAAAGAAAAACAACTCAATCTGAACAATTCGTCAAGGGAATTCTAACTACAGTCGCATGATTTTTATTCGACCTTCCTAATTCAAGATACCCAGGGAGAAAGAGGGATATGAATCGGCGTTGAATGATAAGAAATTCATTATACGAAATGGGTTGGAGGAAAAACTGACCAGAGATGCAAAACCAGAAAAAGAAGAATCATGCTGAGATGGATTTAGCTTCTTCTTCCATGCAGCAGAAGCAGCAGCAACAAATGCCCAACATCTTCCATAACAAAACATCTATTCCATCGAAATTAGCACATCTTAGAACACAAGTGATCAATTATATACTCCACATTCAATAGAATAAGCCAAATTCAATGCCACTCCCCTTTAAATAAATAAGATGTAAATTATGATTTTACTCCCTATAGTTTGTTTAAAATTGCCATTTTTGTTCATGTATTTTTGAAGTTACAGTTTTAGTCCTTATAGTTTATAATTGTCTTTGTTTTTTTCGTCCTTCATATAATTGTTATAATTAAGGGGTTCTTGACTTAACTAATCTTTTTAAAAAAGTATAAAAATAACTCAAAAAATACATTTTTCACAAAAAATAATATGAAAAAGCTGACATAGAGGCGAAGGATGTGGCCCCTCACGTTGTGGAGGGCGACTTTTGTTGCTGGGGACATTTCACGAAATGACCCACATGGATGACCCCATATGATTTGATTTAATTCCTACTTTGACCTTAGTTTTATTTTTATTGAATCAATTTCTCATACTTTATCCTTATATATATATATATATATATATATATATCATATCAATCACACTCAAACCAAACTTACACACTTCAAACCAAGAAGAAATTCTCTCTAAAAAAGAAATGACAAAAAATTGAGAAAGTATTGGTATGTGTTCTTAATGGAGGTTCGTGGCAGGTAGTTAATGGAGCATTAGATTATATTCAAGAAACACAAAAAGGTTATCGTGTTGTTGCGGATGCACGTAAACATTCGGGTTTGGTTATTTATTTGGCGAAAAAATTAAACTTACCAGATTCAGGAGCCTAATAAGAAGAAGATTTTACCTGGGGATGCTTACATACCTTCTAAGTTCTTTGTGAACGTTGATAAAACTCAAGTGGTAGTTCAAAAAATGTAGTTTAAGGCTAGATTTCTAGTTCATTACAGTCAGAGATTCAAAAGTCTAAATCAGTGCAACCATTAACTAAAGTTGAATCTTGTCACTCATAAGATATATTTCTGGAGAATAAAGCTTAATATATGTTCAAAAGGACTTCTTTAATTGCCAGTTGTGACTTATGTAGATATGTTGCAAGATGCACCAGTTCAGTTCAAAGAGATGTATTTTGACTTCTTGAGATCCATAGCAAAACTCATGAGAGCAGTCATCTTTGATCTCAAGATTACTAGATTGAATGAAGTTGAGCACAATAAATTTACAAAGAGTTATGAGTTTGTAGTGGTCAAGGAAGATGGGAATGTGTATTCTTTTACTGAAGCAGACTTTCCTAACATGAATGCCTATGAATTTCTTGATCTATACCATATGCTAGAACCTGAAGAAGATACACACTTCAAGTATAAAAAAAACATTGGTTTCAATCAAAGAGGCTATGAGAAGAACAATTGATAGAGCCAATAAAGAAGATTTTTCAAGTGGTTTTATAAATGAGTCTTGATAAAGTCAACCTCACAGCTCCAAAGAAGAATCTAAAAGGGTTTGAGAAGTACATAACTGGTACATTGCTTGATCATCCTGATTTTGACATTGTTTGCAAAGACATTAATTTGAAGAAAAGTTTCTTCTGGACCAATGAAGTAGCCAAGTATTCCTATGGTATACTAAAGTTTTTCAAGGGTCATTTTGCTAAGAAAAGATATAGGAATGAAGAATTGTGTTCCAAGATTGAGCCGTATATTGATGCTACTTTGAACCTGAGGAATTTGGTTGTTACATTCAAAGAGCGCTCAAGTGCTAAAATGACTAAATCTTCATCTGATCCAAGGGGGAGATTGTTATAATCACAATTATATGGAAGATGGATCAGAGGAAGGGTTAGATCTCTAGGCTTGAAGAGTCAGAGATCTAGATGGACTACACAAAAAACTAATGTATCAACTCAGACTTAGGATTTCATGAAGAACTAGAAGAAGTTCTACTCAAGTCAAATCTCTGATCAAGCTGAGAAGACTTGTGCAATTTAGAAGTCTTAATAGTACACGAGGAAAACTTCTATCGGTTTAGTTGTTAAGCGACTTAACTATCATGTACTATATATAGAAAGTTTCTCTTTTGTAATTGTAACTATTGGACTCAACTATTTGGATTTGATGATAACACATAATAATATCCGATCAAATACTTGTAATGTTTTAGGTTTTGAAGTTGTTGCCTACTATCCAATATACAAAAAGGATTCGAAATGTTAAAGGATCCAATTTATATAGGACCCTATAGTTCAGAATCTAAAGTTGAGAAGGATGTACTTTTGGTGTATCCTAAGTAAACCTTGTAATTCAGATGCTCAGTCGTCCTTTTAAATATGAATTCCATTGTAAAATCTTTAAGTCCTATTTTATAATATATTATCTGATCAAGTAAAACGCCTTTAGCAAAATCGAAGTTGAATTGAAGTTAGATAGACACCAAAATGTATTAGATTTATTATCTAAGACAATAGAAGATCAGAAGACAAATAAGTCAAATAGTATGAAAAAAACTATCTGGCAAGCCGATTTTATAATGAAGACTTTAGGACCAAGTGTTTTTTACCAACTCTAGTCCTAGTGTGAGAGCATGTTCAACATGTCAGACAAAACTTTCTTTACTATTAATTCTAATCCTTAAGGCTGGTTACAAGCTGATGAGGTTAACTTATTAACCCAATATACATCACTTTTATCATCTTTTTAGTATTAAATAGTCTATCTCATCGAGTCTTTTTACTCTTTTCTTTTGCACTTTACTAGCTTTAGAGTTTGGTACATGATTTGGATTTGGCATAAGATTTATGCATTAAAGTGAGCAAATTCCTTAGTTTTATGCTAACCCTATATGTTCCTACGGGATGGTTGCTGTAGTAGATTCGACAGGAAGCTGTAGGATCGAATTTCGGTCTTACACAACTTTTTGGGCTAACTTTTGGGCCGAATTTGAAGACCTTTGATGGGCTTGGTCTTAAACTTTTGGGCTACTCTTATATTTATCTTTGGGATCCTTTTTGTCTATCATGGGCCCTAAGTCCTCTTTTGCTACTATAGAATATATGTAACTTATGTATGCTTTAAACATCATCACATAATACATTACATTATTCTCCTTTCATTTCTAGTTTAGTAATTGACTTTAGGGAGATATTTTTGCAAGTATTCTTTTATTGTTCCTATGTTTGGAACTTCCACAAGGCCGAATAGCTGTAATTTCTTTTCTTAATTCGAAGCTAATTTAGTTAATTGTAGTTCGTTTTGTTTATTTACGGTTATTTGAGATATTATAATTCAGTTTTACTTTTAGAGAACACTTTAATCATGGATTTACATTGGATTCAATTTCCAATTGTGGCTCGTGGTTATTATCTAAAAGACGGAAACATGATTATTAATTTCAAGTAAACCATGCAGTTGTTTTTAAGTTTGGAACAGAACTTTCTGCTAAGTTTTTAATTACTTTTAAGCTTTACATTTCTTGCTTTTTTTTATTGTTATTTATATTCTAGTCCTTTAATTTATGCAATTTACTTTCTGCATTTCATTTGTTGTTGTTTACCCTCCCGTACCATTTACTTTAAGTAATTTTATTTAATAATTAATTACTTGCGCAACAAGTTTCATTTCTTAGATTTTAACATTTTCAACTTATTCTCCGTATTTTCCATCTACGTTATTTACATTAAATTCTATACATCTTTTGTAAAAAGAAACCTAGCGATGATAGGAAACAACCTTAGCTTGAGGGTAAAATAAGTTAAGATTTAGACCCTGAAAAGGTAAAAAGGTGTCTTGAATATAACATTATATTTTAAAGTTATTTAAATCAGAATATTAATATTTCATTAAAGATTACATTTAATTAATTGACAACTGATTACTTGTATGAAAATATGTTAGCTTTTAAGAAGTTACTTTAAATATTAGTTATGAGATAATGTTAGATTGCTATAATTTTTTTTTACCGGATCACTTGTTTTTAACTCAATGAACCTTTACACCATTTACTTCTTCTTATAATTGATTTTTTTGTAGTTGATAAGTCACCAATCAACCAAAAGATTTTTTCAAATTCGCCATCTGAAATCAGTTTTTAAAGACCGGACTTTTTTTGAAAGACTTTACAACCATCTATGTGGGAACAATATTTGGTATTTTACTGTTATTACTTGTTACAATACGACAATAGATTAAGATGTATTCTTTCGTCAAGGTCTATTTTAGCCTTGAGCTTAAAGGTAGTATAAACCTGACAACACAAGCACATCACCTTGGGAAACAATTTGACACCCACCTGCGATTTTTTTAGAAAGTGATTTAGGCCATCTTTCTTATACATCATTCATACATATCTTCTTTGCACCCATGACCCTATCCTTTTATCAATTCTCAATGAAGCATTAACTAGTTCAAGTGTGAGGATGGAGTATGTGTAATCATATCCAACAAATCCCATAGAGTAGTAGAAAAAGCCCCAAAAGAAAAAAGAATCATCGAGTGAAATTAACTCCACAGTTAACCCACAGATCATATACAATAATTGAAAACCGGATCAAACCTGAAACCGACAACTAGGATCGAGAGTAGTAGGAATTCGAGAAGTGCTTCAAGAAGTGAGCTCATAAGCAGAGGACAAACTAGACCGATTTTAGGCTTTAGAAGTGCTTCAATTGCCACATGAAGACGATTATAGGCTTCAAATCGGGCCTTAAAGGAAAAGGATGAATTAGTGATTTTCTGCTGATGATTATGGTGCTTCCTTGATGCAGAGGAAGAAGAAATTCTATCGTTTTCCATGGTTTTTGTAGTTGTTGTGAGGAAGCCATTGGAAGTCGCCATTGTAGAGAGATTACGGGAACAGAGCACTGAGCACCAAGGGAGCAACACGAGAGAAGGTCGAGGGAGTAGCGATTTCTAGAGGAGGAGCATTGATTGACCTATAAAGGAGGAGCAACGATCTTTGGAGGATAAGGAGCATTGATCAATTTATAAAGGATGAGAGAAGGAGGGTAATTGGGGAATATTAATGGCTGAGGCCATGGGAGTAATGTATTTGAGCTGAGCGAATAAGCTCTCAGTTGAATGAATAATCCCCAACCGAACAACCTTTTATTGCTACGTAATAAGCTATAAGACTTATACAGCCCATTAAGCCACAAACGAACAGCCCCTCAGGCCATCTTTATTATACATCATCCATACACATCTTCTTTGCACCCATGACCCTATCCTTTTATCAGTTCTCAATGAAGACATTAACCAGTTCAGGTGTGAGGAGGGAGTATGTGTACTCATATGCAACAAAGCCCATAGGGCAGTAGAAAAATCCCCAAAAGAAAAAAAAATCATTGAGTGAAAAAAATGAAATACTCGTTGGTCCCAGCCGGATCTACAAGAGTTTATAGGTAACAGTTTGTAGAATGGGGGGTGAATACAGACACAGTAACTTTCACTTTTAAAAATTATATATTGATAAAGAAGATCAATAAAAATTATACATATTGTTTGTAGAAGAGATATGATACAAAATCTATATAAACAATCTAAGATACACACAAGATTACAAATAGCAATAAGAAAAGATTTGCTACAAGAAATAAGATAAGAAGAAATGTGCTCTTCACTTGTTAAAGTGAGTGTTTCTCTTAGACAGAGAGTAGTGAGAGAAGTAACTTCTTAGATAAGTTCTTAGTGAGGAAGATTGATAACTGAGAGGGGAACCACTCAGCTATTTATACCCATTGCATTAAATGCAATTCAGAAGGTACGCAACACGTGTCAAGCTTTTAGGGGAAAGCTTGTCCTTTGTTCATATATGACAGGATTTTGGCCATATATGAACAGTCCTCTTTCATAAAGTAGGTAAGCACGTTTAAAGTCAAAGGAGTGGCTTTGTACTATACTATACTTAGAAAGGTATGGGTTTGTCTTGTTTGTGTGAAGGACAAGACAAAAACAATCTTGCTTGACAAGATTCATTTGGTCGTTGAACACTGGAATAATGCTGAAATGTCTCATCAGTGTTCACTGAATCTTGCGCATACTTCACACTTGTGTAGACAAGTTTGTTATCACTAAATACCGCTTCAGATCACGAACTTGCTGGTCTCTAATCTTCAGCTTCTGTCTTCGACATTACTGAAGGATCTATGGTGTGAGTTTTGTCTTTTTGAAGTATAACAGTCTTTGAATGAATTACAATACATGTTCAACGATCACTGTACAGACTCAGTGAAAATCGCTGAAACTGAATGACAGGAACAATATACTTTGATAGTTAAAAGGGATCATCATCAAATCATTGAGAAAGAGGATCAATAAAGAATTTTTTTTTTGAAGAATGAACAAAATGTGAGGAAGAAGATATATTTGATATTTTAGAAAAGAATTAGGTTTTATTTTAAAGTTATATTGGTAAAACATAAGTCTGTTTCACCTTGTTCCAACTTGTTTCATAGGTGGGGTGAAATAAGCATGTTCCACAAAGGTCACCTTTGTTCTATTTTGTCATGCCCAATGTACTAACTGCACTATGTATGATCTTAAACAGGCTTCTTGTGCATGATATGACACTCTTTCTAGTTTTCTTTCGGATAATGGCCTCCTCATCATAAAATTGACAAACCTCTTCCTTTGAAAATCAATGGTCTTGTGTCATTCTTTTACAGATTAATGAGGACAACATTATTTTTGGTACGACTAATTTTCTCAAATAAAAAAGGAGGTTTACAAAACTCATGAAAAATCCGTCTGAGATAAGCATGGTGGGTGAACTAACATTTTTATAAGGTTTACTGATAAAACAATTAAAAAATTTATAAACTAAAGTAATTAATTATGTTAAAAAAATATTATTAAAAATAATTTTAATAAATTGGTCATCCTACACATCTCTTAGAATTACATGTAGTTTCTGATGCTAAATTAGTGAAATGTTACTAATTATCGGGGAATGTTTGGTTCTCTTTTGTATTTAACAACTAGTCGGCCAAATATAATTTTTATCACATGTCTATGTACAAGATATCAAGCTAATATGAAAGAATCCATTTAAAAGCCGCTAAAAGAATTTTTAAGTATCTGAAAGATAACACCAACCAAAGTTTATAGTATCCTAAAGACTCAGGTTCTAATCTAAAATGCTCTATTAGTTAACTGGGTTAACGGGACCAAGCAAAATCAAAAACGACAATGGTAAATCTGTATTAGATGAGAATTATAAAGTTTACTCTATCATCAATTACAAAATTATGAGAATTATAATAGATGAATCATATTACTCTAAAAAAATCTTTAATTAATCATTAAATATGGAAAATATGTTAAATTCAAAATTCGTTTTTTTATTAACCTGAATATCTAACCCGTTATGCAAATCGATTAATCCTAGGGCGACCACCTGTTTTACAGATAGTCCAGAGTCATCACATTTGAACATTCGTGGCCACAAGGGGATTTTTATATCATTTAAAAGAGCCCCAAATTATACCCATACACACATAAAAGAAGGGGTGTTGTCCTAATTAAGCCACATCGGCTCAATTATTAAGACGCAAAAAAACCACCATATACGGTTAAACGAATAAATTATTCATATCATTAAGCACGTTAAAGTTTAAATAAATAACATAAATCTATTACAAGCAAAAAATTTGATTGAAAAAGTATTAAGTTAATACAAGAGTAAAGTTCAATTATGGTCCTTAATGTTTGCAATTTTCAATACGAATCGTCCTCATACTTAAAAAACTCGGATTTGATACCTCACTTTTGTTAATTTCCGATGATTTGGGTCCCTCTTTATAACAGTCATTAACGTATTTCATTAAGTTAAAAATTACAAACATTAAAGACCAAAATTAAACGTTACTCTAAAAATACACATTAATTTTATTGTTATTGCTATTGATCACATAATTCTACATGCCTTTGGAGGTACTCTTGAAATTCTTGAAGATATCTTTTCTATGACTTAGGTGGTGGAGGATCTACTTCATACTATCAACAACTTATTGCATTCTTTTTTCAGGCGTGTATTAACATGTTAAATGTGAGATTTTAAATAGTACTTCCAAAAATTTGGGGCCTAAATTTACATGTGTTTAGGGTTTCTTTTATCGACTTGTGTAAAACTATAGCTGAAATTATTTAGGTTCAAACCATTAATTATTTGGTTTTAGGTTCAAATCTTTAATGGTTTAGGTTTAGTTTCAGATTGTTAATAGTTTTAGGTTTAGCCCATTTTTATTCTTAACATATATTTTATGTCATCCCATTTATGCAATGTAATTAAAAGTTTTGTATGTAGCAGGGCCTCCAAAAAGATTGGAACGTCCCTAGTGATCAAATGTTCGAATATTACTGAATGTGTGTAAGTATTTGTTATATATACTTCAAAAAAAAAAAGGATTGGAGAATGTTGAACACTCATTCAATATATATACTTCAAAAAAAAGGATTGGAGAATGTTGAACACTCATTCAACATCTTTTCTTGAAGTCTTTTGCATTTCAAACTTCAATATCTTAGGATGTTAATAGACACTACAACAAAATTAGGTTTATAGGACACCGTCAATCTCTAAGTGTCCCAATAAACTGCTTTATACGACTTATTTTATAAGACCAAAATATAAAGCGTCCTACCTAAAGGTGTTGTAAAGTTGATATGACATTTTTGGACGTCTTAACAAGTTTTTAGGACATTTTTAATACAAAACGTTGCATTAGTAACTTTATAGGACACTTTTAAGAAAGTGTCCTATAAACTCAATTTTTTATAGGACACTTATAGGTCAGTTTTTCAAATAGTGTTCTATAAAGTTGATAATGAGACACTTTATATTAAAAGTTTTCTAAAAAACTTATTACGACATCAAAAAATCGTCATATAAACTTATTACAACGCCTTTAGATATGACACTTTATTTTTTGGTCCTATAAACAAAGTCCTATAAAGAGGTCTATTAAGACGCTTAGAAATTAAGAGCGTCCTATAAACCTGATTTTGTTGTAGTGTGTAGAATGCTGCTTCAACTGATTAATGTGATGGAGTGGAATGTCTATATTATCTTGCTCCAACTCGTAATCAGCAGATGGGCGCATGAAATTTCTAGGTGGTGGTGTGGAATTTATTATTGTTTGTGGTTGAGGAAGACAATTAAAATGCCATAGTCGGGAAATGGTGAGTTGGTGGGCACCTCTAGCAAACTCACCAAATGCACTAAGGAACTGAGCTGCTCCTAGCCCATCGCATATAATTCCACTACAAAAATGCAGAGTATCAGCGAGGGAAAAATCCCTCGTAAATCCATCGCTGAAAGGGTAATCCGTCGTTGATACTCCGTCGGTCAAATAGTCGTAGGTAATGCTATCAGCGACGGATATTAGCGACGGATTTGCGAGGGATACTTTCAGCGACGGATCAACGAGGGAAGTATTTTGCGACGGATCTGCGAGGAAACTTTCAGCGACGGATCTGCGACGGATCCTTCAGTGACGGATCTGCGACGGATCCTTCAGCGACGGATCTGCGAGGGAACTTTCAGCGACGGATTTGCGAGGGAATTTTCAGCGACGGATCTGCGACGGATCCTTCAGCGACGGATTTGCGAGGGAACTTTCAGCGACGGATTTGCGACGGATACTTCACCAACACATAAAAATATATACATATAACACATAAAAATGAGAAAATAGAAAAAATAGGAAAATCTCTCGCTGATCCCACGCAGATCAGCGAGGGAAACTAATTTTTGTCAATTCCCTCACTGATCCCTCGTAGATCAGCGAGGGATCAGTGAGGGAATTGTCCTATTTTCTTGATTTTTATGTGTTACATGTACACATTTTTATATTTAGGTAGCGTATGTATACATGTGCATGTGTTATAAGTATATATACCCGTTAGCCCGTGTTATATACATATGTTTACACGACGTTGTATGTGTACTGGGATGTATATATACCCGTCGATCAATGTTATATACATATATATACATGATGTGTACTGGTTGCTAACCACGAGTGGATTGATGTATATATGTTTAAACGTATGTGTATATATGTGAATGTATAGATAATGTGTGTGTGTGTTATATGCGGATTTATTCGGTTTTATTGGGTCTTAAACCATTTAAATGTGCTTTGTTCGGTTTTATTGGACCTTAATCCATTTACCGAGCTATTTTGAGTTTATCGGGCCTTAATAAACTTTATTCAGTTTTATTTGACTTTATTCGGTTTAATGGGC